TGCAGTGGGTTGCCATGGGCTACCGTATGTAGCCAGCAGCCAGCGTGAGCGACCAGCAGTCACAGTGAGCGGCCGTCCAGAAGCCGGCAACTGATATGCCTCGCCCGGGAAGAGCGCAATGATGGTGCCAACTTGGGCCAGTGAAACAACGTCTTCCACAACTAGACTGAAGAACAAAAGGATAGCAACTTGTCTGTTCCCCTTCCCATAATTCCCAAGTGCTGTTCCCATTCCCCCAATTCCCCAGTAAAAAAAAAAAAATCTTTAAAAAAAAAAAATTGAGACATTTTAATTTTTTTTCATACTAAGCCTTTAAAATCTGGTGTATGTTTTACATTTACCAGCACATCTCAATTTGCTAGTCACATTTCAAGTGTTCAATAACCATATGTGGCTCGTGGCTTTGGTACTGGGCAATACAGGCCTACCCTATTTAAGCAATAATCAGCAATTGTGCTTTTTCCCCTTAAACCATAGAGGACCTCTCAAATTGCAACTTCTAGGCTCAGTGATATATTTTAATAATATACTTATTGGGCCGGCCTAGTGGCGCGTAGGTTAAGAGTTGGCCTGGGGGCCGGCCGAGTGGCTCAGTTGGTTAAGAGCTCGCTCAAGAGTGTGAGCTCTGTGGGCTGCTGTGAGTCTCCGGCAACGGCGTAGGCTGCAGCCCTGGTGGCAGTGGGTTGCCATTCGCTACCGTATGTAGCCAGTAGCCGCTGGGTTGCCATTCGCTACCGTATGTAGCCAGTAGCCGCAGTGAGCGGCCGTCCAGAAGCTGGCGACTGATCTGCCTCACCCGGGAAGAGCGCAATGATGGTGCCAACTTGGGCCAGTGAAGCAACGTCCTCCACAACTAGACTGAAGAATCAAAGGACAGCAACTTGTCTGTTCCCTCCCCCCAATTCCCCAGCGCTGTTCCCATCCCCCAATTCCCCAATAAAATCTTAAAAAATAAAAATAAAAAAATAATATACTTATTTATCTTTATTTTCATCTGTACTTTATAAGCTACAATGATAGAAGTATGTTATGCAATATAAAACTATATAAAAATTGTGAATTTTAAGACTAAGTGATGAGTAGTGACAATGAGTTTTTAGAAGTTGTTCTAATAAGATAAAACTTTTTTTAAAAAATCACACCAGTTGAATTTAAATGTAAGTTAATATCTATAATTATATTAAATTAGTTTCCAAATTAACGATTTAAAAAAAATCCTTACAACCTCCATATCAGTCCCAAATGACCTCATTTTGCTGCAATATTATAGAATTTACATCATATGCCCAAACTGATAGTTCTGCTGAGGTGCTTCTCTCCCCCCCAGAAAAACCCAGTTAAACTTCTCCTTCGCATTACCTTTCCCGTTTGAGGTATGGCATTTTTCATTATTCTTGCCACATTTGCAATTGGAAGATATATATCTTGTTCTCTGAAACTTTCTTTTGAACCATTTGTGTCTTCATGATCATTCATGCTGTCCTCAGTATCTAAAGAGATAAAAATAATTTAGGTTTGAAACTTCTCATAATTTTACTTCCAGATAAGACTATTTAAAATGATCTAGGATAAGAACCATTCTGGTTCATTTCCTAATCCTTTTTAGGGATTAGGATAATGGTTCTTTTCACAACTTTCTCAGGGCCAGAACTAAACCTACTTGTTAAGTTCAAGCCCACTGTCTAGGACACTTCTGTCCTCAGCTCTGCCCACTGAAACCCTACCTACCCATTCTCCAAAAAGCTCAGAAACATCTCCACGGCACCTTTAGAAACCATCTCTCCTTTCACAAAGTATCACAGTGCATGTCTGCATCTTTTCTTACACACTTGATCATTCTTTTTATTTCGCATTCCCCCCATTACATTTTTGCTGCTTGAGGACAGCGATCAGTTGCATGTCCTTCCTAGGATTTGGTACAGCACCTTCCAGAGGAGGTGCTCATAAATATTAACACATATTGCATGACTCAGTTATAAAACTTATAGACCTTGACCTCCATTGCTAGATTAAGAGGCTGTACATTTATCAAAGCCCAGTTTATGTAGAAAGGAAAAACTGGACTTGAATACTACTAACCCAAGTGGATCATTACTAATGTAGTAATAGCTTTTGAACAAAGCTATATCAGTGTTCCAACGTTCTTTAAAAAAAGTGAGATTTTTGGGCCGGCCGAGTGGCGCGATGGTTAAGAACTGGCTTGGTGTATGTCAACTATGATTGAATATATATATGTATATGTGCATGGTCATGGGGCGTGGAGTGTAGTGTGGGAGTGGAGTCGGGGGATTTGTAATAGATATGTATGATATNGGCCAGTGAAGCAACATCCTCCACAACTAGACTGAAGAACAAAAGGACAGCAACTTGTCTGTTCCCCTTCCCCCAATTCCCCAGCGCTGTTCCCACCCATCCCCCAATTCCCCAATAAAAATCTTTAAAAAAAAAAAAAAGAAAAGAAAATACTTTGAAAGCCAATGTGAATCTGACATGCAAGTTGCAGTATGGAAATAAATACGCTAATCTCAACTCATTTTCACAAAATGTATAGGCAAAGATAAACCAAATAGGAAATGTAGAAGAATTCAGTCAATAGTAAGAAAGGGATAGTTACAATTCCTCTTTCTTATCTAAAAGGCCCCAAGCTTTAAGATGCTACCTCTTTTATTACAGCTAACATTGAGCGTTCATTATATGCCAAGCTAAGTGCAGTAAATAGATTATTTTACTTAGTCCTCTCAAATATTCTGTGAGGTAGACACTATTATTAGCTTCACTTTACAGACCAGGAAACCAAGGCCTAGAGCACTTAAATAATCTGCTCAGGGTCACGGAGCTCCAGAGTCCACATTCTTAATCATTACATAATTGCTATCATTAGTAATAACAGGAAAAAAAAGGACTTAATATTTAAGTACAGTCATATAAGTGATTACACACTCCTGACAAATGTAAGTTGATATAAAATGAATTTTTAAACAAATAATACATTTAAAAAGTTAGTGAACTGTGTATCTTATTTTCTTACAAGCATAATGGCAGATATTTTACTTACCTCTCTGAATTTCTGAAGGTATAATTTTAGAGGTTCTACATAACTGTCAAAGCCTAAGGTGGACATGGCAAAGAGAATATCTTCTCCGTTGATTGTCTTCCGTTTCTCTTGATGGCATCTTTCACTTGCTTCAGATGTGATAAAGCTGATGAACTCACTTACACATTCTTGAACACATTCTTTGGCATCTTTTGCAATCTGAAAAGAAAAAATCATAGGTAAATTTGGAGGGAATATAATCATCACCTTCCTAACAACCTACAAAAATAGAAGGCTATTTAAAAGGATACAAACTTCAGTTTAGGACTGTTAACCTTTAATCTTTGAAATGTGTGCTAATAACATTAACACAACTGGTGCTATAAAAACTTCAGCCCTCAGAGTGAGAATAAAAAAAATACAAGTGAGAGAAGACTTGACAGCCATTCACAGGAAACAGATATAATTTAGGTATAAAAGCAACCACAGGATGTCCCTCCCACCCATGATGAAAACTCTTACTAACCAAGTGCCCCCAAAAACTCAATCCGGTCATGTATGTAGTATACCGTGGGCTACAGACTTAGGTACCACTTCTCTGCGCTCGCAACTCCATGAATAAGGACACCAGAATTTGTTTTAAAATAATACTGAATTCACGTAAGGCTTACATGGGAATAAAATAATGACATCTGGTGACATTTTTACTACTGAAGATAAGAAGTGCCAGGTATAGGTTTTGAGTTTATTAAAAAGCCTACCTAAGGGTGACCAGTTAGCTCAGTTGGTTAAAGCGTGGTGCTGCTAACACCAAGGTTGCCGGTTCGATCCCTGCATGGGCCACTGGGAGCTGTGCCCTCCTTAAAAGAGTCAACTATGGGGCCAGCCGAGTGGCGCGTTGGTTAAGAGCTGGCTTGGGACGCCAGAGGGCCCCGGTTTGGATCCCACATATGAGGGCCAGTGACACTGCCTTCTACAGCTAAGATGGTGAACAACAGCTCGACTTGGAGCTGGG